TGAATTTGGCTCTCAAAAGTTTAAAGAATGAATGAAATGAGACCTCTATTTTTAGAATTTAGGCTTGGAAATTTTGGTGATTTGAAATTTGATTTAGAATTTGATCTAGGCTTGAAATCTGAATTTGGAGGCAAAATCAAGATCAAGTGGTGATTAATGAGGGTGTATGATGAGAATTAATTATAATGAGGTAGTGGAATTAAAATGAGGTGATCTAAAATATTCTCATGATGAAACAAGTGAATTTTGGTGTCAAAATGATGCAGAATTTGAATTTGGCTCATTTCCCCAAAAAAACGCACTAGTTAATCGATTAACCATATAATGTTAATCAATTAACACAGTGAAAAAGTGGAAAATTTTCCTTTTTGTTGTGATGTCTTGACTCTGCCTCGATTCTTTTGACTTGTCAAAGAAGGCATGGAAATAAACACATGAACCTTAGAGTCTCTTGAGTAATAAATAATCAAAACTTGGGAAACTCTTGATCAAATGATTTTTAATTGTTTGCGGATCGACTTTAACTTTTCAAATGAATTTCATTTGAGCTGAAGAACTGTTGATTGGTGTTCTTGATTCCAAACTTCCTCCTGAAAAATGAGTTAGTAAAGAAAACAAAACAAACATATTTTTGGTATTTTGATTAGGGTTAGTAAACATGAACAATCAAATAAAAGCAAACAAAGAAAATACACAGGTGTCTGGTGAACTCCCTAAAAAAACCCACAAAGGAAGGCAAGAGAATCAAAGCTTGTGATCTTGTTTGTGGTATGAGCTGCAAATGATATGTGGGATCTTAGGGGTAAAAATTAGGGTATTACAGCCCCATCACGAGAAAACATGGAAAAAGACGTTCCTCTGTTAGAGGGAAGTCAAAGTTTACAGACTAGTCTGCATCTTCCTTCGAAATAGGGATTTAACGGTTCACCCTTGATTGAGTGGACGATTATTAGTTGTTAGAAAACTCTAGGCCTAAAAGCATCTATAAATATATCCCCCCTCACCGGGGTAAAAAGACACGTCATTATACCCTTAGCATAACATATAAACATTAAACATCTTACCTCATGTGAGCTAGTCGTCTCTTACCAACGTAAACGACAATTAACAGGATCACTCACCACCGCGAAAAATCCCTAACCACCCTTAACTACAAAGGCCTTTGAGTATCCCCTACCCGGGTAGGGATGCCACTAACTCTTGAAAGCTTTGACAAGTACAAATAGATATATGGAAAGTGGTAGGTTAACTAATTGGTCCAACAGATATATCATACCAATGTCCTATTTGGTTGAAGGAAAATGAATCCAATTGGGGCCCTAAACCCTTTAGCGTAAATAATTGTTGGCTAGATCATTCATATTTTTGGAAGTTTGTGGATGAGGAATGGAAATAAATGAGGATAGAATTGAGGAAAGCTTATATTCTAAAGGAAAAGTTAAGAGCATTGAAAATAGAACAAGGTAGTGGAATAAGGAAGTTTTTGGATGGTTGAATATGAAAGGTTGATGATGAAGTAAAGAAGGTAAATAAATTGACGTGTTATTAGAAAATTGTGAAAAGAAATTGGTATCTGAAGAGGTAGAGAAAAGAAAGATATTGATAAACAATATGTGGAAAAATCGTCAATACAAAGAAATCTTACTAAGACAAAAATAAAGAGTGTCAGGGATAAAGGAAGGAGACTTGAATACAATATTTTTTTCACAGTATTTTGAGGGTGAGATATAGAAAGAATTTAATTTCCTGTGTTAAGACAAACATGAGGAAAGGTAGAAGACGTGAATGGTGTGAAAATGGAGGTAAATAAGTTTTTTGAAGGAATATTCAAAGAGAAAAACTTTCATAGACCTGTAATCGATGGGGTGGAGTTAAAGTGCTTGTCAAGTGAGGATAATATGAAATAGAAGAACCTTTTACAAGAGAAGAGATTAAGGTTATAGTATAGGATAGTGAAGGTAACGAAACACTAAGACGTGATGGATTCAACTGTGAATTCATTAAGAGATGCTGGAAGACTTTGGAAGTAGATATTATGGAATTTGTATATGAATTTTACATTATTGCTAAATCACCTCAAGCCATTACACTCTTGTACATGTTTGGAAGGAAATGACTAGAATACAACAAAACCTTTTACGGGGAGGCCCAAAATTAAAGAAAAAAGTACATTGGGTTAGTTGGAAAAAGATTTTTAGACCAAAAGAAAATGAGGGATAAGGTTAATGATGTAAAGCTATTCAACATGACATTGATTTGTAAATGGAAGTGGAGGTAGAAGATGAAGCATTATGAACAGGATTATTAAAGCACAAATATCTCAAGGTAAACATGCATATGTTAACAGGAGCATGTAGTTTAGGGAACAAGAATGAGTCAATATGTTATCAAATTTCAATTTTTTTTTAAAATATTAGGATTATTTGTTTCAAGTATAAATATTTTTTTTTGGAAATAAATAAAAAAAATTAATTATAGTCATCTTCTTTAAAAAGTTAGAAAATATTATTTTAGATATAAAGTCTAAAAATGAAATAACATTCAATGACTTTCATATTTCTATGATTTGATTTTCATTTGAACAGATGAAAATGTTCATTCTCATAAAACTTTATATAATTTTTTATATGAAACAATATAATTATTATTATTTTAAGAACATCAAATTATATTCTAACACTCTTTTAAAAGAATATTTAAAATTTTAATATTTTTGTTTTGATTTTTGGTATATTATTTTTAAATATTATTTAGAATTTTTGAATTAACGGCGGTCTTAATAACATTTTGAGCTAGTAAAAACTTATTTGTTTTGAGGCCAATAAAATTAAATTGCTTTAGGTTGAATTGAGCAAAAGAAAAAACATCTATTTTGAAAAATTATTTTAAAAAGCCTGTTAAGAAAATAATAATATAATTTAATAGAAGAATATTAAAGTATTGGAGGAATATTTATTTATTAAAAACACAATAAAAATAGATGAAATTTATTTTTAATAAATAAATCAAGTTGTTTTGATTCATTAACCACAATCAAAACCCATCTAATAGATCTATTTTGTTCTCTTTAGTTTTGATTGAATTTCCCCCAAAATGAGAAAACAAGAGGCAAAGGATATTATGAAAAGGGAACTTTATGATCATTTCATATCAATAAATAACTAACTTAACTGCATTTCCGATTGTCATTTTTAAAAATAATCACTTTGACTTTCAATGTTAAAAACGGAATTGATCATAAAATTATAAAATTGGTGAAAATATTGAATTAATGTTTTATTGACTGAACCATTGAGTCATTGATCGAATGGTATAAATAAATCGAATTAAATTAAATAACTGTTTTGGATTGGGTCAAAACCTGCCCCTGAGCCGGGCAGGCCCAACCCAAGGCTACGATGATGAAGTCCAACAAAGTCTGATTTCCTCTGTCAGGTAGGAGCTTCAACAAGGCACATGCGTCGGGCAGAAGACCCTCTTGACGGGGAAGCCTACACGCTTCCTCCACGTGTCCCCCACGCGGGGACACATCATCAGATAACTACCCACATTCGAAAGAGATGATTAGTCCACCTTCCGAAGATCACGGGGCAATTGATCCAGGGTGAAGACCACGTGCTGATCTTCACTACGCCACGTAAGTCCTGACAATTACTTGCGTTGGGTTTGACAATCCGGTCCAATGCAATGTAAACGTTGGCCCTGCGTCGGGGGCACATTATAAACACCCTCTTTTACTAGAGGGTCAGGTATTCTATTCTACACACCTTCTCTCTGTACTTGCTCTCTCTAGTTCCGGTACTTAGGCATCAGAGCATTTTGCAGGTACACCCCCTTCTCTTCCACAACTCCGACGAAAACATCAGATCACGACGCGTGGCAGATCACTGATTCCTTTTTAATCAGGTGAGATCAATAACTAAGTTGAATAAATGGATCTCTATAATAAAAATATATGGTTATTGAACTGATCGAACTGAATAATTCGATTAAAAAAACTCAAACACTTACAAAATTTTAAAATTTTAAAATATTATTTTTTTCACAATTCATTATTTAAATTCAAATTTTAAATAGAGTGATCACACAATAAATAATACAAAATTATGATCCAAAAAATTTTGAAACTTGCAAAATAAATTAAATAACAAAAATATCTCAGGGGATCTAGTAAAATTAATTTCAAAGAAAAAAAAGTTGTATTATATAAATATTATTAAACAAAATTTATTTATATTTGAAAAAAGAAAAATGCACTTACGGTATAAATCTTTTTATACTGTCAATTAATGAGAATCATACATTTTATTAATTAAATTTTTTAATTAATTGTATGACATGGTAGAATAATATATTTTTATTAGATAATAGTGTAAAATATTTTATACTGTTAATATATAATAATTAAATTTTTTATATTTTATTTCTTTTAACTATAAAAACAGGGTTATTTTGTGTGAGGAAAAAAGTAAATATATTCATTGATTTACCAATTTTTGTTGATTTTGGTCGGTTTAGTCTATTTTTAAAACACTACTTTCACCTATTATTGTTGAATGGTCCTTAGCCACTTCATTTTTATGAAACTCACGCACATTTTGGTCAAACGATATCCTTAAACAAAGCACACTTTTATATTCTTTTTTAATTAAAGATACTTGAATAAAATCTAAGCAAGCCATTTTTATCTCAAGTTTTTTTCATTGTTTAGAGAAAAGTAAAATAGAAAACATTTTTATTCCGCTATAAAATTCTACTTAAAAATCATTAATGAGTATACTCTAAAGCGTAATTATTACATCCTTTTTTATTTGTTTATTTTGCCTTCATTGTTAACAACTAAAAAAGATTTAGAATAAAATAACTAGAAAATCAGAATAGAATAGAATATCCGAGGAGAAAATGAAATTTATTCAAATTTGCAATAATCGAATGATAACACATTCCTTCCTCCTATTACATTTTACATGTCCTTGAATAATAATCCAACGTTGAATGCCTTAATGCATGATGTAAGTGAGAACCAAGGCCAACAACATTAGAACATATGCTATTGCTTGGTCAATTGATGTGCCTGCAAATTTCAAGCAAAATTTTAACTATTAGCCATGAGTTTTGCACCAAACTAATCCTAAATATTCTATAGATATATAAACAAAACAATTACAAAATCATATCAGATCAGACAAATCTTTCATATTGAAAATCGTCACAAATTTTATATTTTGCACAAACACAACCAAATTAAACTGACGTAGTCTTAACTGCAATGTTTATAAATTTTTGATATAAGAACATTAAATATAAAATCTTTAAGATAATTTACCATCACTCGTGGGAGCAGGAGCCGGAGCAATGGATTGTGAAGAAACCATCGATATTAAAGATGCATAGATAAGACCAAGGAACACAACCGCCACAAACAAGACTGCCATTTTTTATATGTGAACTATTCTCTCTCTTTAAACTCTACTCTCTCTCTTAATTTCTTTCGAAGTTTAAAAGAGAGAGAAATAAAAGAGAGAGAATAGAATCAAACTATGGGCGGGTGCTGATTACAATGAAATATGTGTTCCTTTTATAACATTTGAAAGAGCAAATAATTTTGAGATGTAGAAATTAGAGGTGCACCCGCACGTTTAGAGAGAAACGATTGCAATTTTTAGTCAATAATCTATTAATATAATTTTTCTTCATTTTCTAGAATTTGATAGGTTTGTTGTGTGATGTGCATTTTTGTAATGAATCATTGGTTTGATTATAGATTGTGTACGTGTCTAATATTTGATATTAATTTTCTCATTTTTTTATATATTTTTAAATAAGGGAATTTCCAAAATATAATGAATTTTAGCATTAATATTTAAATAGTAGTATATTTACTTTTGATGTGTTGTTTAAAATGATTTACTTAATCTATTATTGTTAGACCATGCACTATGAGTTTGATGGTTTACATAGTTAATGGAATAGTCCATTGATTTTAAGAAATAAAAATTTACAAGATTTCAAAAAGTAATAAGTTTTGTCCAAAAAAAAACTTTAAAAAATATAATGAAAATACTCTTATAAATAGTTCATATTTTCAAAAGTCAAAATATATAATTAAGTTTAATAATAAACAACAGAAATAGTAAAACTAATAATTTCTATTTTAGAGGTTAACATTCATTGCCAGTCAAAATGGTGATTAAAATTCTCTTTTTATTATTATAAATAAATCTTAACACTAACAAGTTACTAGAAGCTACTAGAAGCATATAAACTTTGGAAAATACTTGGTTCATTATATAGATTATTGCCACACTCTTATGAAAATATAATACTTTTAAGATTTTAGATATTTATATCCAGACGCACCCTAATTTAATACATTCATGAATAAGGTCCTAAACTTGTGTTAAAAACAATTACAAAAATGCATCTCGGTCTAATTTATAAAGAGGTATCTTCGGACATTGTTTGTTCAAAAAGGCGCCAGAACCCTTTCTCCTTTCTCACTTTTAAAAAACACTTTTAAGTTTCTCAAACTCTCTCAACTCTCTTTCTCTTAAAATTATTCAATCAACTCCAAAGCTTCTTCCATTAATATCAAGTCTATCAAACAACTCACATTCTCTCCAAATCATTCAACCAACTTCCAAGCTTGTAAATTTTTTCTTTTTTCTAAATTTTTTGAGTTTCTGTATAAATTTGTAGAGATTGATGATCAGGTAATGAAATAGGTAATTTATACTTGTTAGGTAAATGAGAAATGTGTTTGATAGGTAATTTTATTGATCAATGTACTATTTTTGTTGTTTTGGGGGTCTGCATTTCCGCCATTGACGCTGATCCGAGTTGCAGGAAATTCCAACATTTTGATTCTCAAAAATTGGAGATGCATCTCCAGAGTTTTTCTGTACATTTTTTGCGGCATTTTTTTTTCTTGAACTCATTGTGTTTCATATGTATAAGTGTAACGCTTGTGTGGATTAGTTACAAGCATTATGGCTAATAGGCAAAATCGATTGAGGTACGATGGAATGCATAACATGCATCACTTTGGAGGGAAAAAATTCAACCATCGTAGGCTCCTGTTACCTCTAGTCCGGTTGATGTGGAGGTGCCAGCTTCTAGGGCTCATGTATCTTCGACTTCTTCTTTTTGTAAGAGACGTGTGTCACCTACTTATGCATCCTTACCTCCATCTTCCTATAGACAACAAGTTTCACCTATTCAGGCACCGAGGCATCAGAGGTACCCAAGTCACCGGAGGTACCCTAAACACAGGAGGCAGCATAGGCACCCGAGGCACCACAAGGGTTTAGAGGAGGTCCGTCAGACTTGTCACTAAAGCCTCTTTACCTGCACCATACTATCATACATGTCTGGGACAAAGAGGTAAAGTTTAGTTGGATTCATTCTTTTTAAATCATGTTTGTTATAATATTAAAATTTTATGACGATGGTTTATTTTTTTGCAGGACCATGATGCTCTAAAATTCATCAACCATGGGTAGAAGATTGTTGGCTTGTAGCAGCCTAATAAGTAGTGGTTTCAGGATGTTTTGAGGCTATCTGGGATGAGAGACTTATGTCAGACCTGTTATAATACGGTTAACAATGATACATTATATGCATTTATAGAGATATGACACATGGAGACGCAATCATTTCATCTTTCATATGGTGAGATGTCTATCACACTAGACGATGTCTCATGTCTGCTGCATCTTTCGATTAGGGGGGAATTTTAGATCATGGAAAGATTAACATAGATGATGCACTGGAAATAATGGTAGACTATCTGGGAGTTGATCTATAGGCTTCTATGAAGGAGTTTGAAACCAGCATAGGGGCTCATGCTAGGTTTGGATTCTTAACGAAGATGTATACAAATGAGCTACTTAGAGCACAACAGGCTGTGCAACATAGAGCATACATTACGAGAGCATACATGTTGTATTTGGTTGGCATTACTATTTTTATGGATAAAAGTGTCACTTATGTGGATGTCATTTACCTACGATACTTTTATGACTTTGAGCAGATCCATGAGTACAACTAGGGGGCGCTTATTTGGCCTACTTGTACTCTAAGTTATTTAAAGAGTGTATGTGGAAGACCAAACATGTGACAGACAACATCACACTATTAACGGTAATATTTTTTGGTCTTTTAGTGTTTGTGTGTCATTTTCATAGCACTTTTGCAGCGCCATTACTAATTATTAACTTGTTCCAACACTTTTCAGGCTTGGATCCTTCAGTACTTTCGACATATATTCGACTGGTCATGCCTTATGACATACACTAAGGATATGCAACGTGCTTCTGCATTCATCCCACTCAAAGGGAGTAAGGCTACGGAGCCATACCAGGTGTATCTAGATTGTTTGGTAGCAGAGGACATACGCTTATATTTTTACGTTGCACATTGTGAGACGCATCTCTTGAAGGAAGTTTCCTTCTACTCTGGATGTTTGGTTTCTGGTGCACGTCTGACGTTTCCCCATCTGCCTAAGCGCATCATGCTGCAGTTTGGTTACATGTAGTATATTCCCAAAGACCCTTTTGTGTCTGCTCCTCCCACTATGCCACGTAGAGATATGGATGCTATGTTTGATGGTTATCTTAATCATCCGGCACCGGAGGAGGAACGAAGTACCATATCTCCCAGCGATTGGAGCTCTACAGACGATTACATCCGGTGGTTCTTCAAGATGTCACATCCTTATATGATACAAGATGCTCCAGGATATCCATCGAGCCCAACTTATTAGGAGATATTATAGGATGAACATACTATGGTGTTTTCCTTGAAAATTGGAAAACAACCGCTGATCTTTCAAATCTAACTTTGGTGACTCACAGGATCAATCAGATTGATCCTATGACATGTGCTAAATTTTACTTGAAAGAAAATACTAAGAAACTGAACACTTCGACGGTGTTTATGAGAAAAAGGATAATGTAAATGTAAAGTTCGACTGAAATGAAAGGACATGCAACTGTAGGGAACAAAGTAAAGAGCCTTCAAAAACACTTAAACAAAGTAAAGCATAATGCCAGAAAGATGTAAACTGCAAGGAAGTAAAAGGTAAAATCTTTAAGATAAAGCAAAATAAGTTTCATTAAAACGTAGAAATGGTGTTTTTACATGACGTACATTCTCCTAGAACTCTTTTCTCTACACTCGGATACTTTGAGTAAACTTTTGGAGTAACTTGTACAATAGTAAATTACAACACCTTGAATTCCATTGCTAGAACCCCTATTTATAATAATACAATTAACTAGCATTAACCTCCTAAAATGACCAGCCCATGACAAGTTTCACACCGCATGTAGTTGCTTACTGGATGTGCTCCACTTGTCCTATTCGGCAATGAGAAAGTATAACTACTCCCTCCTTTATTTGTATTTCAAATTCCATTAATATTTGGCCAGCAGTCTCGGTCGAAAGCAGCGTCTTTAATGTTTAGAAATATTTTCTAAGTCCCCAATACTTTAACATTTCAACCACTTGAAGGTTTTTCAATTGAAGGTTTCTTTCATATTCCCTTGACAATTTAATATTTGTCTCAACACTTTTTATTTAATGTGGCCGTCGAATTTGTGAGCTAACAAATTGCCCCCCAAAAATGTCTTTTTCGACCATGCTGAAGAAAAAGACTATTTTTTTACAACATCCAATTCGACGCCATCTTTCGACCTTTACATAGATGTCAATGCAACTGACTACCCATGATTTGAAAAAAAAACTATTCAGCTACTTTTCACACACGTCCATGACATCACGGTCCATTATGAACAATTTCTTGGAAACCCCACAAAATCCCAGACCATCATCGCTTCCTTAGGACCTATGAAATCGTGGGTCTAGGCAATAACTGCCACCGCTCCCACTCTCATTCTTGGGACGCCACGTGTTCCACTACTCTTAGCCCTCAATGATGAATAGTGGCTTTTGATTACTTCAAAACGCCTTATAAATAATTTCATCAGAAATCATTTTAACTTTTTCCCACTCCAGCAATCACCTATGCATCTCTTCCAAAACAACTCCTAATCTTTCTTCAGTAAACCCATTTCTACCAAAACTTCATCAATGGTGTCCTCTATTGTTGCCACTCAAGATCAGAAGAAGAATCACTAGACAAAAGGACTAAAGACTGCGTCACTTCTTCCTCCCTTTGCTACATCGAGCAGGCCTAAAATGGTGAAGAACCAACAATTTATCCCTGAACCCCTTATAGAAGAGAAGAGACATATTTACGAATCACAAGTAATGATACCTATAACTGTTGCAAGTAAATCCGTAGCTTTGGTTGGCCCTCTGTCTCCTTTAGGAACCAATTATTCAACCCTTAGTGACTTTTTTCCCCTCTTACCGCAAAAACAAACTTTTAGGGCAAAAGGATCCTACCAAAGTACCTACTGAAGGTCCTGAC